ATTGCGGTTGGCCATATTACTTATAATGCTCTTTAGGGTGCATATCGGTTAGGTTGGTTCGAATTTTTCTATTATCAAACTAAAATAATGGTGTCCGAATTTTAAATTTATAGACCAAACCAAACCAACAAGCTCAGGTTTCTCAATTTTGATTTTTTCGGATTTGTTTTTTTATTTTTTGAGTTTTTTCCAGTAAAATCTTCATAGCACAAAATATATAACTTATACTTCAAATATTTCTTTAGCCCTAGTAGGATACAACTATATAATACATTTTCAAGAAAAATAATATAGCATTGTACTAAAATATTTAATAATAAAGATAATAAAATCAAAATAAAATAAAAGAAATATTACTAATTAATAAGCTTTAATAAAAATGAACATAATCTAAAAGTAGTAAGCCATGCTAAAATAAGTACGTTTTACATGACTAAACACTAAATAAAAATAAACTAAGTTATGCATTTTCATTACAAATCAATGCAAAATTAAAAAATAGATATCCAACACATTGTCATTCTTAGGTTGAATTGAATTTCTTTTGTTAGCATTAGTATTGATTTGAACTTTATTTGAGTTACTACATCAAGTCTAACTTTAAAATAATAAGTTAAAAGATAAAACTATAAAAAAGTTTAAAAATATTTATAAATATAAGAAATATTTATAAATACATTATAATAACTATTTTTATGTATAAAATATTTTTAAATTTTTTATAAATGTAATATCGGGTTGGTTTTGTTTTAGTTTGACTTTTTTTAGTTTAAACCAAACCACATCAATTATGGTTGGGTTTTCTTTCCCAATACCAAATCAAATCAAACTAAATCACAATGAATTTTTAATCGGATTTGACTTGGATTATCGAGTTGGTTCTATTTATCGATTTTCTTTATATACCCCTATTTATAAATATATGCAGGTACTTGACGCACAAACTAGGGGACTCCCTATCAGACATATATATTGTAACATGGAGCAAAATAAGGTTGCGGATCTACCAGAAAAAGAATGAGCATGTTAATACTTAGTAATACAATTTTCGCGTTCTGCCAAAATATAATTTAAGTAGGCGCTTGGCCATAAGTTTTGGAATTTTTTTTAAAAAGTTTTTCCCTCAAATATGTATTTGTTTGTAGAATTAATCTAGTTTTTAGGAGATTTTGAAAACCAAACCTTCAAATCCCAAATATAACTTAAAACATTTTTTTAAGGCTAAATCACGATCATTTGAGACTTTTTAGCTGAAAAATAAAAAAAAGAAGACTTTTTAACATGTCAAAACTTTTTTCAAAATTCATGTCCAAATACATTTTCAATATCACATCAAACTTCACCCAAATTAGTATATTAAAAAAATAATTGGAATTCTATGTCCAAACGGGCCCTAAGTGTTAATTTAATTTGCCAAGTGAACGGAAAATATCAAATCAGCTAGGAAAGTCAAATTTTGAAATACATTTACAAAATTCAAACAAAAGACACACTTGAGGGTTATCTACCACTTATACGAATAAACGAGGCATTAATTGTGTCAGTTCTTTTACATGCAAATGAATAAATTTCGTCTAAATTAATTTACCTTTTATGGACTTATTTAGACTATTAAGGTAACTTTAAATGACCCAATGTCTATATCTGTATATAGTCTAATTTATTAGATAACTCTGTTTCATTTAATGAAGTTTGAAATGTATCTGAATTTAAACCAGCAATGATATTGAAAAATCAGATTAGTTCATGGCCAGTCATGTAAAAAACAATAGTTTAATGCATTATTTTTGTGAAATTATGAGTTTGATTTTGCGCTTAAACTCCTAGTTACTAAAATATTCTTTTTTCTATTACTTGTAAGAAAAAAAGAAAGGGATTCAGTTCCTTTTCTTTTTAGTTTGAAAAGATAGCAATTATAGTAAACGTTTTTTCAAGAAATACAGGTACAGTAATGCTTTATACACTGTAAATGTCTAAATGATGATTATAAATAGACTACAAACAATAAAAGGTGAAAAGTAATTAAAAGAAAATAAGAAACAACTGCCAAATAAGACAAGGACAGAAGATTTGGCAGTAGCTGTATTTCCTATCTTTCAGACGAGCTGCGTCCAATCCCGTACGGAGTCTGTTAACGTTCTCCCCCTAAAATGTACCTTCAACGTATTGAAGAGATTTGAGATATTACTTCTCACTTTTTTCATCACTCACATATAACTGTTTGGTAATGATAGATTCATATTATTATATATTTGGAAAAAAAGAAAAATCAAATGAAACCAAATTTATTTTGGTTTGATTGCATGGCATCTTTTCGAAACCGAAAATCACAAAATCAAAATCGAATAAGACAAAGTAAAATCGAGTTTGCTGCAGTGTACGGAAAACGAGTTTTTATGGATAGAATTAGATATAATTTTAAAACCTGTTATTTCTTGTTTCAAAATTCATTTTGTCAAAGTAATACTGGATTTGCCACTAAATTAAATATGTAATGCATGCACACCCCATATATAATTTTAAAACCTGCTATTTTGTCATGTCACATAATCTTTTTTTTCCTTATATGGATCAACACATCATAAAAGTTTTTTGTCTTGCCCCCTGACAGAATACATGAAATAAATCTCTGACCAATGCGGCGTTGTTATGCAGTGGTGCAGTGACATGTTCTTCAAATTCTAATATAATTTTGAAAATAAAATAAAAAACGACTGTAAAAACTACAATTCAGCCGTATTCACATGTTCTTTAATTGGAAGAAATCAAATGCCAATGGATAAGTGGAGTAGTATTTAAGTAGTTACTAACTCCAGGCTTTTGTTTGTATTTACTTTTTAATCTTCTTTCATGTTCAACCTTATCGATTTTTGCCACTTATTAGGCGTCATAATTGGCACAAAGGATCAATAACCTTTAGCGAGTCTAAGGAAATTACATTTAAATCTTTATAAATATGATCTTGATGTTTAAAATTTATAAATTAATTCATAACTCAAAAACTACAATTTATACGTTAAAGGGTGATCCGCACAAACCCAACCCAGTTTTGATGAATCGGCGACTATAGTTTTGTGAACTAAATAGGGGTCATAGTTTATTTAGTTTAATTCTAATATATAGACGTAGTTTAATAGATATTACTAGTAACTAACTTTATTTGCAAGCTTTAGGGTTCAGCTGCGTATCCATTTTCCCACTAATGTACGTACAACCAGCGCATTTTAGCATCCCCGTGAAGTTTATAACTCCTAGCTAGTCCTTCACCTTTTTGCTATCATCTTAGAGCAGAGAGTAGTATTGAGAGCTCATCTCTTCCTTGGCCATTTGTTTTTCAGAGGAAACACCAAAAATGTTGCGTCGTCTTTCAGTTGTTTTGCAGAGAAGGCCACTTCTTCCGATTCAACAGAGAAGCCCGCCTCTTCCGATTCAAGGTGTTTCTTCCTGCATTTCATGATAAAAAAAAAAGAAAAAGTTGTTCTACACATAAAACAATGCCATTCTCATGTCTCTCTAAATCTTCGTTTAAACTCAGCATTTGCTGTCATGATCGATACTTGTGGTTTGTTTCTATATGCATGTATATATACCTTCTTTAAAGCATTTTTTGAGTTTGTTAGCTTCAAGGTGTTAATGGAGAAGTTTTAGTTTTCATTCTCCCTGTGCTGCTGCATTTAGGTTTTTCTTTTGCTGTATTTAAAATATATTTTCTTTCACTTGTTTAGGTCCTGCAATACGGAGGGTTTGTTTAATTTATAAATTGAAAACTCACATTCATTAGGGTTGGGTGACTTTTCTAGGTCATGTTTAAGCTGTTCGATTTACCGAGCGCCTTGCTCCCATATTTGAGTCTATAGATATATATATATATATATCTTTCTGTTGATAGGTCTTTTTGTAAAATATTTCAACTGCTGCATTCATCTCATGTATCTTTGAATGTCTTGATATTTTGTTAAAATGGGTATGGTCATTTTCAGATTTATATGCATGCATTTGGGTGTAAAAGTATAAAATAAATCTTATTCTGTAAAAAAAAAAAAAAAAAAAAAAAAAAAAAAAAAAAACCAAGAGTTTCAATTAGAGAGGAGGAAAAGTACAGCAGGTAGGCAAAAAAAGAAAAAAAAGTATTACAGTGCTACCTATGTTTTGATTGAAAGTAAGAGATGAGTTCTGGTGAAAGTTGGTTCATTAATGAATGAAATTTAAAGTGAGAGGAACACTAAAAAGAGGAGAAAAATGTTTGTAGCAGGATTAAATCAAAAACTTTCATGGTATGGGCCTATGGGGCATATACATCTCATATCTTCCTCTTTGAACTACACTAGAATGTAAATGTTATTGGCTACCATGCAACATTTCAAACCTATAATGCGTCAAAGGAGAGAAATTTGAGTCTGAACTCTGAATGCATGTCTTTTTCAGTATGTGAGTTGAACCAATATATTCAATTCCATCGAGAGGTAATAAACTGAGATTTATGGATGTTTTCTGTAAGTCAGTGCTTACTGTACGTATTGCCGTGAATGGAACATGTTTTCCAATACTTGAATTTGTTGTATCAACAGTGTGTGGCTTTTTGGAAAATTTAAATAGTACTTCCTAGTAGGATAAACCTATGAGTAAAAAATTACATTTCATGGTATTGGGCATAAATATTTCATACTTATATCTTTTGAATTACATTAGAATTAATAATGTTCTTGGCTACCATGCAATAATGTTTCAGAACTATATTGTATCAAGCAGAGTAATTGAGTCTGAATGCCTTTCCCTGAGTTTGTGAGTGAAACTTGTATTGCCTTTGATAATTAATCACCTCCTTACATACAATACAAGTAAATGAAAAGCTAAATACTACTACTAAGGAAGACACGTGTTAAGTGCTACTTATGTGCTTCAGTGGACACTTGTCCAAGACTTGAGCTCATGTAATCCCAACCTTTATATCACCTCTAACATTGTGTCCATGATCACCTTGAAATCTGACTATTTTTCATTGTCGTTTCACTGTGCCAACATCAAGCTAAGTTGAGCTGAATATCTTATACTTGTTGCAATTGTACCACATCACACACTTCAGGCCATTAATCATTTCTCTTTTGAAAAATAGAACCCTGCAGTATTTTGAATATACTCTTATTGAATATAATTCTTGTTTTGCTCGGCATATTTATGATTTGGTAGGATTTATGAGTTGTTAACCTCTCTTTTCTAGTAGTGGATGGTTTAAATTCTGAACCTTGTTTTGCTTATGAATTTTGTCTCATGATCTCATCTTCCTCTGTTTTTATTCACTTCTCATTGATGCTGTTTATGTGTAGTTGATGCTCTACCTCCACCACCACCTTCTCCTCCACGTCCTCCTCTTAGGGCCCTGGCAGAAAATGTTACAGCTTTGCTTCCTTTGGAAGAACAAAGGAGTAAACTTCAGTTGGATATAATGGAGCTAGAGAAACGAGCTGAAGACATTTTCAATGCATTCACTAATCAGATCAGCTTTGTTCTATTGTTCACTGGAGGGGGGCTAATTTTCAACCCGAAGCTTCCTTGTACAGCTATTGCTACATTCACAACACTGACACTTATTTCTTTCATTGTGGCGTTCCTTATGGCCTATAAGGTATTAAGGATTAAATTTAAACGAATGCAACCTGCTATGGATACTCTGGATGGAAGGAAGAATGAGCTCGCAGATAGAGCAAACGTCATTTGGACATCAGAGAATGCTCGGCAAAATGCACAAGGGCAAGGTGAACAGGGGGAACCTAACAATGATCTCTTACACCCTCAAGAATTGGCAGATTCGGTGAAAAATCGGGCGAAAGTAATAGTAGATTCTGCCGGTATAACTGAGTTGAAAAAGTATAACTGCCAGTTGATATGGGCTATCTTAACATGTTTGGTAGTTCACGGGTCTGCGATCTATTTCACTGCCTACTACTCATATGGCTGTAAGTGAAGTTCTTAATAAGCATATATATACTTTGATGAATACTTTGAAGATCAGTGTACATGTTTAAGTGAGAAATTAAAGTTCCTTTTGAACTTGAATTGCATATGCTAACATTTTTTCCTATTTGTTCACAGATGCTAAGGAAGGGTGTAAAGATCCTATGGTTGCTGTTCAGGCTATATAGAATGTGGATGGAAGGAGGCTGACGTTTGAACTTGAACAAGTGGCTTAGGCGACTGTGTAGCTAGCTAGTTTTAAACTCTACTACTTATTACTTTCAAGACTGTACGCTAATGTTTATTAAGCTGTCTGTTTGGCATATATTATACATATGTCAAGATACCTTGGATAGAATTTGTTTTGCTTAATCTGACGATCGAGATACTTTTGATATATCATTTTAATATGAGAATGCATTTTAAGTCTTCACTCTTTTGTATAATCCTTGTCTGTCTCCCACTCCCTTCAATCCCGACACTCTCTTGCTGTGACTGACAACTTTCAGATTCTAATATTGCAAAGTTCAATACCTTGATATTGTTAGCTTTTTAGTTGTTTTATTTTCTTTTATCAGGTTATATAAACATAAATTACATTACTTTTGTCTTTAAGGAAGCTAAAATGGAGTGAGGTAAAGGGATGTAGATAAATTCTAATCTTCTAGAATCGTTTCTTACTAGGGATAATTTCTAGACCTTCCGTAACAGTTGCTCCATCACACTAGCTCTCTATTTTTAATTAATGTAAATAAAATAATTTTACTAATTTGTTCTTACTAATATACTCTGTTTTTTAGTTGAATCTATAAACATCTTTCTAAAAATATAATTCCTTTAGTAAACAAAACCCAAAATAATTGGCTTAAAAATAATAATAAAAAATAACAGAATGATATATATATAGATATATAGAACTTCTTCTAATCGGGACACAACAAAACTTGTAAACGAGTTCACGTATTTGACACTGGTGCGTTGCTTTTCTTTTGTTTTTTTCATTTAAAAAGTACTTATTTACATTCTTGTTCCCTTTCCTTTTTATGGGTTTTCTGAAATTATGTCAATTTGTTTTCTTTCGGCTTTTTTCAGTTTGCATGTCAAAACTTAATTTGCTTCTTTATGGTTTTTTGATATTAAATTTCTTTGGTAATAAACAGTGAAATTAATATTACCGTAACAAACAAAATGATACTTACAGCCTCTAGAGTTCTTGACTACCTTCTAGAACAGGTGTCTCAAACTACTAGATCTCTAGACAGACAACAAAAAACTAGTTACATAACTTATGAATCAAAACCTGATATCTACGACTACATGCTCTATTTGAATAATTCAACATGCCTAATCTTTCTCTAAAGTGGGGTGGACCGCGTTAGGCTGATTTCTGAGATTAACTTTTCTCCGTAAGATTTAATGCTTTATTTTATGATGGTTTATATTTTTATTGTGTGTTTCAAAAATTTCACCAATGCGTTCGGAGTAAGGATAAATGGGATTAATGTTACAATCAAAGAGACATTGTAAATAAATATGATCAAGAAAACGAATTCTCGGAAATGTTTGTGGAAGAGTTGAACAGAAGGGTGGTGGGGTTTATTCAAAGATTAGTGCGAATTACCTAGGAGTTTCACCTCGGGATTTTTTTTGCAAAACTTTTCTACGAATTTTCATGGGAAAAATTGAAATTCCTAAATTCTCGAATATTTTACCTGCAAAATATATTTTTTCAGGAATATTCGCAGATAAATTTGGCGCCATTTTGTGCAAAAATCTTACCTAAAAAATTATTTGGGGAAATTATCCGCATATATCGTTTTCATAGGTAAATCCGCAAGTTAGTGAAAAACAAAACACATTATGTTGTTAATTTGCAGGAAATCCATAGGTAAAGCTATATGAAGATTTAGCTGGTGTATTTACCTGCACATTTATCTGGAAATATTTTTACTTGAAGAATTACCCGGGATTTTGTATTCTGTAAATTTAGTTAGGGATTTATTTCTTGGGAGTTTTCCTAGGGTTTTCATACCTAGAGAATTACTTGGGGATTTTCTTGTTGCGGATCGAGATAGGAATTTTTTATTACTTGGAAATTTGCATAGTTGGGGATTTACCTAGAAATTTCCCTGCTACAGATTTAGTTGCGAATCTTTCATGGGGATTTACCTAGAAATTTCCCTGCTACAGATATAGTTGCGAATTTTTCTTGGGGATTTACTAAGGATTTTCTTACTTGAGAAATTACCTAGGGATATATGCTCTGTGAATTCCTACTTCAAGTCAAATAATGTGATGACCCGATAGGCCATTTTGAGTTTTAACCTTCATTTCAGTGTCCTGAGACCTCGAAGGGTGATGCCATGCCATTTTCATATCATTGGTTTATCTGATTTACTTGGTTGATGATTTACTTAACTATTTTGTGATTTCATACCCGTCATAGCCGTTATAATTATTGCCCCCTTTTTGCATGTCCCCTTCCAGTTTGTACGTTATCATTCTCTGTTATTATTGCTGCTTTATATATACTTATACAAATTTATTTACGCAGGTGTCTTGTCATAGCCTCGTCACCACCTCGTCGAGGTTAGGTTCGACACTTAGAGAGTACATTGGGTTGGTTGTACTCATACTACAATTCTGTACTTCTAGTTGCAGATACTGGTATTGGTCGCAACGGTGCGTGAGGTGCGTCAACTCGGATCATTGCATACAGAGACTTGAGGTAGATCTGTTGGCATCCGCATACCTTGAAGTCCCCTTCCTTTTCCCACTTTTACTATTCATTTCCTTCGAAACAATTATATTTATTTCAGACTCTGTTTGTAGACTTCTTGTTGCTTCTGTACTCCTGACTCCGAATTTCTGGGAGTAGATATTATTATGTGACTTATATTAGTACTGTGTTAGATTGGGTTTCTATTTCTCGTTAAATATCATCATTGTGTATTTAACTGCTAAATTGGCTATTTAATTATCTCACGTCGGCTTGCCTAACAAGTGGATGTTACACTCCATCACGACCCCGAGATTGGGATTCTAGGCCGTGACAAGTTGGTATCAGAGTACTAGGTTGCCTAGGTCTCATGAGTCATGAGCAAGCTTAGTAGAGTCTGGAGGATTGGTATGGAGACGTCTGTACTTATCTTCCAGAGGATATGGAGTTTTTGAAAGAAAATCACTTCTTTCCTTCTCTATCGGGAAATTTTATTCTATCATTTATGATTGAACCGCTCTATTCTTGTTCTCTCGTAGATGGCGAGAAGACGCACAACATCTGCAGTCGGACAAAAGCCGGAACCCCCCGTGGCAACTACTACCAGGGGCAGAGGCCGAGGTCGAGCGAGAGGACGGGGTAGAGGCAGATCTCAGCCTAGATCTCGAGCAGTAGCACCCGCAGTGAAGCCTCTGATTGATCATGAGGAGGAGGTCCCAGCTCAGATCGTACCCGTTAGACCAGCTCAGGTCTCGGAAAGGTTCATAGCCACTCCAGTGCTTCAGGACGCTCTAGTCTTTTGGTGGGCCTTATAGAGAGGGTGGCCCGAACAGGTGCATTTCCGGTGGCATCAACCGTGTCTCAGGCTGGGGGAGGATCACATACTCCCGCTACATACCCCGGAGTACCCCCAGAGTAGGTGGCCCTCCTATATCAGACTCCAGCAGTCCAGCCAGTTGGGGTAGTTCAGCTGGTTGTCGCGAAACATGCTGGGGATAGGCCTGCTATTTCTTCTGAGGCCTTGTTGAGGTTGGATAAGTTTACCAAGCTATTTCCTGTTCATTTCAGCGGTGCACCTTCTGCGGACCCGCACGATTACTTGGATCGTTGCCACAAGGTGTTGCGCAATATGGGTATTATTGAGACCAATGGGGTTGATTTTGCAGTGTTCTAAATGACCGGTTCTTCCAAGAGATGGTAGAGAGATTATGTGTTGACTAGACCAGTTGGTTCACCTTCACTTGCCTAGAATCAGTTTTCACAGCTATTTCTAGAGAAGTTCATTCCTTTCACTTTGAGAGAGGATTACAGCAGGCAGTTTGAGCGCCTTTAGTAGGGTAGCGTGACTGTTACCTAGTATGAGACTCGATTTGTGGACCTAGCTCGCCACACCATTATCTTGCTCCCTAGTGAGGATGGGGGGGGGGGGGGGGGAGTGAGGAGATTCATTGATAGGCTCACTTTCATTATCAGGCTACAAATCGCCAAGGAGACCGGAGATGATATTTATTTTCAGAGGGCCATAGAGATTTCTAGACGGATTGAGATGGTTCATGGTCAGGAGAGGGGGCCGGTATCTGATAAGAGGCCTCGTCATTTCAGTAGTTTCAGTGGTGCCTCGTTTGGAGGCAGGGGTACTTTTGGTAGAGGCCATTCTCCCAGGCCATTTCAGGCATCCCACGGTGCTTCGGGTAGTCGTGGTCCTTATGTGTCTCATCTTGAGCAGCTAGCCTATAGTGCACCCATAAGCTCATATTAGTACACCTCCGATCCAGAGTTATCAGAGTGGTTATCCAGGTCGATAGGGCAAGTTCCAGGGTCAACAGTCATAATAACCGAGGGCTTATTATACTTGTGGGGATCCGAGGCACCTTTCTAGATTTTCCCTAGATCCGAGGCGCGCGTGAACTAGAAAGGTTCTCGTGCCATAGTTCCAGCACCAGTTGCTTTGCCGACCGCTTATCCATCTAGAGGCGGGGGTCAGGCTGCTATAGGTGGAGGTCATGCCATTAGAGGTGGAAGTTAGGCCGTTAGAGGTGGAAGCCAGCCAACTAGAGGCTATCTGAGGGGCGGAGGTCAGAGTGGTGGGGCCCAACCCCATTTTTATGCATTCCCGGCTAGACCGAGGCCGAGTCATCTGACGCTGTCATCACAGGTATTGTTCCAGTTTTCCATAGAGATGCTTCAGTTCTATTTTATTCGTACGTGTCATCCTATTTTGCTTCATATTTGGTTATGCCTCGTGATTCATTGAGTGCTCCTGTGTATGTGTCCAAGTTTGTGGGAGATTCTATTATTGTAGATCGTATCTATCACTTGTGTGTGATTACTATTGGGAGTCTTGAGACTAGTGTAGACCTCCTACTTCTTGATATAGTGGACTTTGATATTATTTTGGGCATCGTTGGGTGTCACCATATCATGCTATATTGGACTGTCATGCCAAGAGATGACCTTAGCCATGTTGGGATTGCCTCGCTTATAGTGGAGAGGGACTCCTTATCACTCTACCAGTAGGAAATATTACTCATTTCTTGTAGGCTTGACAATATTATAACCATCAACCTGTAATTCCTCTGCATCATCCTGAGCCTATGCGGCCTGTATAACATGTGTAGCTGAAGTATGTATAAATG